CTTCATCTTGCGCATCTGTCCAGGTGATACCCTCTTGAACTCAATTGCTTTTCTTAGGATGACATGGTCTTAGGCAATCTTCATTTGTACAAGGGCGCTATGTTGACGTATGTAGAAAAACCATATGCCCTCGGAACGCATCGATTGCGTTCCGACAGCATAGAGGCAGTACCCTGCGGTCCCAATTCTCCATAAGTCATAAGAGCTCTCTTTTGTAATCATCAGTACAACGGTCCATTTCTACTTTTTAACAGACAGCAACTATTAAATTCGAAATACGACCTGCTGCACTACATCAAAACACATCACTGTTAGATAGCTCTTTGTTGTTCTCATTTGTCAAAAAACTGTACAGACCTGACCTGCTTTGGAAATTGTTATGAACTAGCCATTTGTCAAGAAAAATTTGAATCTGCTGTCTGAGTTACTTGCCACTTGTTCCGGAAAGTGTTATTCGACACTTTCCAGAACAAGTGGCAATTTCACCAGACGAATGCATCTTGTGGAAATTGAAGTTGATTTGTTATGTCATCTTTACCTTACAAGCATAACAATTATTTTAAAAAACTCTGGAAGAGCAATTTGATGTCAATAAAGTTTCTTCTGAATTATTCTGACATCGTTGCCTGAGATGGCTGGCACGTTGTTTTTCACTCGTCAAATCCCTCGATATCAAGCTGCGGCAGATCTAGTAAGATGACCCGCAAAACAGAAAATGAATAAACATGAATTAGACTCTAAACAGTTTTCTATGATTTCTAATCCAGATCCATATTTGAGTCAGATTTACAACATCCATAGTTTTCGATCTATAAAGGTCGAAATTTCTGCAGATGTTTAGAATTTTCTGGTAGACTTAAGTGGTACCTATGTGGCGTCTATATATATTTGAGTTTATAGGTTCATTTATCCTCCACCAATATTTTTCAGAGTGATCTTCATTTGGAGAATGAGGCAGTTTTGGTAGCATGGTTTGTTGATCAGTACCGACGAGATCTGGACGAGAATGCTTTTCGCGAAGAACTGGGAAGTTTTCTGGGAATGTTAGAAAACATCCGCTACGATGATATGTCATCATCTGCCAATTACTACTCATCAATATTTGTTTTAGTTCAGACAGTCGCTATAACACGGTAAGATCTCTAGGTGTTATCATTTTTTAATAAAAAAAA